CAGGGGCCGCCTGCAGCCCTGGCTCCCCGCGCTGGCGTCTGCGTCTGCTGGGGCCGGTGGGCCTGCACCCGGCCGGCGGTGTTTCCCTGGGGCCCGTCCAGCCGGCCCGGGGTCCCTGCCCAGGCCCTGAGCAGTAGCGAGGGTCTGTCCCGATCGCCCGTCTTGTGGCACACCTGAACCGGGCCCAGCCTCTTCCTCAAGGGGTTCTTGCAGATGCGGCTGGGAAGGGTCTGGAGATGAGGTCGCCCTGGGTGGCGCAGGCGGGCCCCCCAACCAGGACGTGTTCCCACGATTGGACAGGCAGAGCCCAGGAGCTGGGGAGGGGCCTGACCTCTGTCCCCAGGCCTGGGCAGGACCCGCCAGTTTTGTCATCAGCTGCAAGGCCTGTCCCTGCAGGGGTGGGGCACAGGGGGCTTGTGGTGTTTTTTCCCACGTTTCTCCTCTCCCTCATTCGTGAGCGTGCCATGCAAGCACTGGGCCGGAGGGCCTCACGGATCTGAACTGCAGTCACCACGGTCACCACGTGGATCTGCTGCCCGCCAAGGGGCCTGCAGCACTGTCCTAACCTGGCTGACATCCCCACCAGACGCGGTGACAGGAGGGGCTGGCACGGCCTCCTGACTGGGGGTTTGTCTGAGACACAGGTGGCCTCCTTCTGGGGGCGCTCCGGAGCACCACCCTCAGCACCTGTGCAGAGGCGGCTGGGGGTGTGTGTGTGTCAGGGGAGTCCTGCAGGTTTGCGGGTGAACCTTCCAGAAGCTGCAGCTAACAACGTGAGACGCTGGCCCTTGCCCTGACCTAAGCGCCTGCGTCGGGGCGGGCGGGGCTGGGCTGCTCAGGGTCCCCCCTAACCAGGGTCAGCCTGCTTTAATCTTTACACAAAGGGCGCACAGAAACGGCCAGATCCTCCGGCTTCGCGGTCCCTATTTGCACCCTGCCTCCTAACCTCCGCCCAGCGCCCTGGGCACCACTCCGTCCTGTGAGACTCTGCACACATGCAAAGGCCCTGAGGCTGGAGTGGAGGCCGCTGGTGGGTTGGGGAAGGGCACAGGCAGCCAAAGGCGGGCCTGGGTGCTGGGTGCTCTTGTGCTTTTACAGCAAGAGGAGTCCCGGGAGGGCCCGGTGCCGTGCGCTCTGCGGTGGAGGCCATCCCCGGCGCGAGTCACCAGGGAGCAACCCCAGGGAATGCGGGGCGCCCGCGGTGAGGCCTCCGCGGAAGGCGGGGGCCGCCCCAGTCCCGGCCGGAAGCGGGCACCAGGCGCAGTGGCGCTCGGGCTCCGCCGGGCCAGGCCCAGGCCGCGGGCGCACGCGGAGTGCTCGAGGCGGCGGAAAGCGCCTCCGTGCTGGGGGGGGGGCGGAGGCTCCCCGGCCCGCGCTCCCGCCCTGCGGCCCCTGGGAAGCTAGTCTGGGGGTCCTGTGCCTGGGGTGGAGTGCACCGCCACGGGGTCCCCGTCCCTGGAGCCGCCGAACCGACGGGCGTCGCCGCTCTGGGCCGAACAAAAGACAGTCGGGTGACCCCTGACCTTATTGCGCCCGCAGGCTCCGCGGCCGGCTGGGGACAGCCCCGGCGCGTCCGGGAAGCGCTGCGGCCTCCAGCCTAGCGCCAATCCTGCTTTTTGGCCATGTGCCCACAAGCAAGATGGAGCCCTGCTGGTTCCCTGCCCGACTCCAAGATGGCGACGAGCCTCGCTTTGCCCTTAGCCTTAGGTGGCCGGGCCCTGCCCGCTTGCAAGATGGCGGCAGCCTGGGGCGAGCACGCTTCCCGGGGCCTGACTCGCCACGTACCCACTTTCAAGATGGCTTCTCCCGCAAAGCCACGCGCCACACGGCGGCTCGTCCACTGGCTCAGGCTCCGTCACGTGCTCCCACCCTTTCTCCCCTCCCTGAACTGCACAGGCCGTTTCCGCCTTCAGTCCGGACGGACGGCCGCGGCCTCCAATAGCCGCCTGCTATTCCTTTTGGCCCCCACCCCCAAGCGGTCCTCCGGCCACTGG